CACCACCCCAAAACCCTAATCGACCTAAAATTCTCTCTTGTGCAGCTCTTAAAAACCATACCTTTCGGAGAGATGTGGTGCTTAGAACAGCATCTCTCTGCTTCGTCTCCTTCATCTTTCAAAACCCACTTCTTGATTCCCTAGCTGAGTCTTCGAAGTCTCCCAAACCAGGTAGACTCGGCATTGCCAACACTAAGTCATGGTTCCAGTTCTTTGGCGATGGGTTCGCCATCAGGGTTCCTCCTCAGTTTGAAGATGTCATGGAACCTGAGGTGTGTATGTGTGTCACCAATCTCTTATAAATGCGAACCACTGAGTGTAATGTCGCCTAGTCTCTTACTCAATCTGAAATTGGACTATAAATTAGAGTTATGAGGGTGAATTTCAAGTACAAGTCATGAGTCTTGGTGGAGATTTAACTTTTACTTTAGTAGTCTCTGATTGATCAGCGAGTGAGAAAACTTATTTAGCTGCCAAGTTGTGTCTAAATCAATGCCTGTTCTAGCCAATTTGATTTGGTAATTGAAGAGTTCTGTGTTTCATGCCCAGTAGAATCTTAGCTATATTCAATTCAAAAACTGGTTCTACTCCTTTTGTCTGGATGAGATGGTCATTGTTCTTGATAGCGTGTGTTACCTCATGCTCTAGGATTACTCTGCGGGATTATCTCTCTATGGGGACAAGGCAAAGCCGAGGACTTTCGGTGCTCGTTTTGCATCTCCTGACGGGTATTGTTGCCTCTCTTCCCTCTTATCCAGTGGATTCTATTTCAAGTTGGGCTTATAAAACCTCCTATGTGACAAATGATGTGTGGATGCAGATCAGAAGTTTTGAGTGTAGTCATTCGCCCTTCAAATTCGCTTAAGATCACTTTCTTAGAGGTGCATAACAAAAACATTTCCTTTATAAGTCTTACATTTTCACATTTAACATTTGAGAAGTTTACTTATCCGGTAAGCTCATCAAAAAGCTCCCTGAATCATATAGGCCAAAGATATATCCGAGTTGGGATCATTGAAGGAAGCTGCAAGAATCTTTGTTCCAGGTTCTCTAAGAAACTTGGTTCCTTTCATTTGTTCTGATCTTTTTGGTTCTGGTCATTGTTGAACCTTTTAACCATGAGCAGGTGCAGCAACTATTTACACTGCTCGTACAATCAAGGTAAAGGAAGAAGAAGGTTTCAGGCAAGTCTCATTTCGAACTATACTACCATCAGTTGGGGAATTTATGTTCTTGACTGTAGAATTTTCAGAGGAACCTTTGTTTGTGAAGTCAATTTTCTTGTTATTTCTCCTTTGCAGAAATTACTACTTTTACGAGTTTGGTAGAGATGAAGAACGCATAGCTCTAGTTGCCGCTGTGAACAGAGGGAAGGTCTCTGCTGCAAACTCAGATTACACTTTGACATTCATATTTTCAAGATTCACGAGTCATTGAATCAATTGTTTCCTGTGGTTTATCTTGAAAAGGTTTATATCGCTGGAGCAGCCGCACCAGAATCCAAATGGAAAGATGATGAATTGAAGCTTCGATCCGCTGCCATTTCTCTCACTGTCTTGTAGTCAAAAAGCAATTTTTTTTTGTTCTAGAAGAGAATGCGATACGCTCATAAAAAACGTGGGATTAAGAACAAACTGGCTAAATGCTTAAACGGGACATTGTTTCAACCGCGCCCGAGAGAGATTTGCCACTCATTTGCTTCTTGTTTTCTGTTTTGGTTTTTGGTGATGTGATGTTCGTTAATGCACTGTCTAATGAACAAAAGAAATCGAGATTCTTTGAAACACGAGTTTTCTAGAATCAATTGCTATTAAAACCCTTTTTCTTCATTTCAAATCTAACAACCCCTTCTTTATCAAAACCCATAATTTTCTCATCTTTACCCTATCTTATTATTATTATTAGTAGGATCTTGCTATTGCCACTCTCTGAAGCTGGGTCTGAGCAACTGGGGGAAGTGTGCTGCAGTCCCCTACTTATATCAACGGCATTAACATGGTCATGGACTAAATTAATAAGCTCATGAAGTGCCTGGCAAGCAGAAGGTTCTAGATCCTGCAGTGACGCTCTTTCTTGTAATGATCCGAGCCCTTTTTTAGTGCTTTCATTGCTTGAAATATCATTCACACCTTCTGCAGTCATTGCATCAAAATCCATCATCGGCCAAGTCAGACAAACAATTTAAGGTTTTCTCAGGATTACAACATCAGGGTCTTATTACCTGCCTGCCCAGTGTGAGACTGGTCAATACGCTCAAGACAGTTGCTTCAAATCAGTTGAAGAAGGCTTCAAAACTGAAAGGCTCTGTCAATATCCATGTTACACGGGTAAACAGAGGATAGTAAACTTGGTAAATAAATCAAAGGTGAGAGGACAAACATACATTTTTAACTCAAAATCAGGATGAGTAAGAAAATATCATAACTTCCAATACTGATGAGACAGAATAACTTACACACCATTTCTCTGTCTATCAATCTTATTATATGACACAAGATGCAGGCACATGCAAGGAAAAAAGAGAACAGAAATTAGGGAACAAAACAAAATGGTAATGCAAAAGATATTATGCATTAGCATCAAAGGTTTGTAATCAAGACCTTCTTGTAATTCGGTGCAGATAATATGAATCCATATGTTCAGCAGAGTTAGACATAATGTTTGATTGCCACCAAAAGTTGACAGCAATAGTCAGGTCATCACTATCCACCTGATGGAACCTGCATAAGTAAGATGCTACTAAATCTGAAGTAATGCATCAATCGGTCTACTGATTACTGAATGATCTCAAATATATGAGCCCTAAGTAAAGTATCAATGCTTCGATACTTGGCATTATATTACAAGGTACCTCTCCTAATCAACGAATAGTGACCTTTATTAGCTTGATTCTGAGTAAGCTAGCCAATTAGAAATGACATTTCAAGGGTTTTGTTTGTGTCTAGAATTAAAACCTAAAGGACCTCATGTCATAGGCATCTGAATCAGAGGCTCTAGGCATATGCATACTACATGACATAAGATATAAACAAACCCACACACTAAAGAAATGCCAATTAGTCATGCAGAGACACTTTAGAGATTTTTTTGCATATATTATTGGAATAACTGCAAAATCTACAATAGCGGTTCAACCCGAAAAAANTACATAACAGAGANATGATAGCTAGNAGTGATTAAGAAAGACAGTTCCGACACATATGACGCATGATATCTGAATTTCAGCTTATTCTGAACTGCAAAGTTATGCACTACTAGGACAGCTTTTATGAGGGAATATGAATATACTCACCAACCTTCAGGAATGAATACTGCATCACCAGCGTTAAGAGTAACCCTCCTGTGACTGCTTGAGGGAATGCTCTGCTCTTGGATAATCTTATAAATTCAGATTTTCTAGACCAACCGAACTACATGAACAACAAATATAAAATGCAATGAAAATTCTTGCAAATAAACATTGGGATAGAAAAATATTAGATAAGTTTGCAATCGCCTTTAAGGTGTAGTTATTGCAGCGCAAGCTTAGGTTGCAACCACAAAGCAAATTGTACGGAAAGGCCAAGAATGATACCTATGATTTGACGCTTCTCCATATATAGGCATTGGATAGAGTGAGGGGCTGGCGGAAGGGGGCCACAAGACAACTGTTGATGATTTTGAAGGTTAAGATAGATTTAGATGTAAGAAAACAGACA